CCCCAAAACCCCAAAACCCCAAAACCCCAAAACCCCAAAACCCCAAAACCCCTTTGTATTATTATCCAATTGAAATATGTCAAGGTTTAGAATTTATAGCTTGTCGGGTTGAAGCCGATATCATCTAGGTACTTTGAGAAGTCGAAAGACTTGATTTTGACGATACTTCCTGACTTTTCCAACTCTGCTTTAGCTTTGTGGGCAGGTTCCAATACTATATAGATGGTAAGATATATAATTACGCTCATAATTTATAGTGTCAACCTTCATTGTCGTAAGTTGTTCAAGTTCAGAGCTGTACTCTTTGTGGGAATATCCTTTCTTGTTGAATTTGAAGAATTTCCGAAGCTTTTCATCTCTTTCCTCGTGCTCTGAAAGATCCTTCTCTAGCTCACTTAACATCTCCCTTTTAGATGGAAGAGATATTTTTCCTAGAATCAGCTCTTTGATGAGGAACACTTGTCTCTCATGAATATAATGTATCAGAGGAGCTTTCTCCACAAGTCCAACAAAGTAGATATTAGGCTCGTTGATTCAGAACATCCTCTTGTAGAGTGGCCCGAAGTAGTATCCATCTTTCTGTTTGGTATCAAACTCAATGATTTTATCCTTTGGGTCAATAAAAGGAATCGAGTATCTATACCCAGTGGAATAGATTATGGTATCTATTTCCTCTTCTGTCCCATCTCCAAATTCAACGGAGTTTGGATTGATTCGGGTAACATTTCCTTTCTTGATCTCCAGGAGTCCCATATCGTTGAGTTCTTGAAGATCTTTTGATTTTTCAATCAGCTCAGTTGTTCTTCCCGTTATATACACTTTTTTAGGGTGAACTAGGTCCTTAGTATCCTCTCTGAAGAATAAGTTGAGGATCAAATCATTAGCACTAATCCAAGCTCCTACTATAAGTACAGCCTTCTCATCGAAATCTTGAGGCTCCATTTTCTTGAGTTGATGGATGTGGAATTGTGTGCCTTCGAACGAATCTGTCCCTTCAAAGTTCGGCATGTTAGGAACAGAGCAGTGCCCGTTTCAGACGACGACGTGGTCAAAGAAATCTTCAACGACCTCAGTGTCTTCTTTTATGTTGGTACAGATGTGCTGGATCCTGTAGCGATTCTCCTTGTCTTTGATAGCCTTAAGGCTAGTTACAGTTCTATTCAATTCGATATGTCTCATGAGATCGAACTTTGCAGCGTACTCTTTGAGGTAACTATTTTAAATTGAGATTCATGTATTACTTATAGAAGGTCTTGCTGTGCATGATGTATGGGGTATCCTCACTGTGTTTGAAGTCTTTGAATGTCATTCATTCTTTTGGAGCATTCGTGATCATGTTGTGGTACAAAGAAGATTGAAGGCATCCATATAAGTTGTAAAAAGCATTAGATTCCAAATTAGGATGCGAACGCTCCGAATGCTCAGAATATAGCCATAAGCCGCCCACATCTTCTCGAGATTCGTATACTTTAATGTCAGCAATATCTTTGAGGTGCCTTGCTGCAAGTAGACCAGAGACACCAGCTCCAATGATGGCAACCTTCGGTTTTCTTACTGTAGTTGTAGACGTAACAATTTCAGAGATTTCCATTAGTTAATATATTTTTATCCTATTATCTTCTTCCACTTTCTCCCAAATAAAAGGGGTTTTGGGGTTTTGGGGTTTTGGGGTTTTGGGG